CCCCCGAGCTCCCCTTGCTCCGCCGCCCTCGCGTTGTTCATCCCCACCCCCACTTCCCCGCACCGCTGCCACGGCCCCTTCCGGACGCGCTCGGCCCTTTCCGTACGGCAGTCGAGCGGCGAGTCCCGCCCCTCGCGTCGCCAGCCGGGGAGCGTCCCTCGAGCTCGCGCTCGGCCGCCGCGGGGACGCGCGCGGTCGCCTATAAAAGCCGCAGTGCGCGCGCGCCGCCGCCACTATCCGCTGCGGAGCGAACGGCGTGAGGCAGAGGCCGCGGCGGCGCATCTTTTTCCTCAGCAGCCCTCAGCGCGGCGACCCACGCCCCTCACCCCCGGGAGCCGGTGAGAAAGGGCGGTGGGAGGGAAGGGAAGGGCCGAGGGCAGCCGAGCACCGGGGCGGTGCGGACAGGTGAGCCGCGGGGCCTCACGGGCGGCTCCGTGGGCCGCCGCCGCCTTTGTGGCGCGTGGGTTGCCGGGCGCGGCGGAGCCGGGCGGCGACCTGGAATGTCATGGGCTGGGGGAGGCGCGCGAGGGCCCCTCCCTGTGCCCTCGACCCCACCCGTGGCGGCAGGTGGTGGGGGTGGTCCTCAGCAGCACCCTCCCGCCAGCGCCCCCCGCACCGCCCTGCGCCCGCACGGTCGGTGCCCGCACCTCTTGGAGGAGCCTGGCGTCCGCAGTGAAGGGCTCTCTGACCTTAATTTCATCCTGTCTGGCGGGCGGTCCCGGGCCCTCCAGCCGCAGGAAGGGCTCCTTTTTCTTTCCTGGTAATAAATGTCTTTTCTCCCCAGTGCTGACCTGCTCCTGTACAGTAGTTAGATGCGGCGCCGCTTGGTAGGAGATCCAAATCCAATAATAACTTAATAGCTTACAGCTCGCTCTCTTTATGGGAGACTGCATTTGTTTGTTTGTATTTAAGTCGAAGTTAATATATATATATTTTTTTTGTCAGCGTGCCAGTGTGGAGTGATAGAGCAATCTTTTGTCTGAAGCTGCCTTTGCAAATTTGATGAAATGCTTCTCAATGAAAAATTGTATTTTAAAAGCCTCTCAGGTACTGGAATTAACTATGTATATAAAACAAGGGGGCTTCCGTGTAAGTACGGTTCGATATGTTTTAAATGAATAGCCCAGAAACCTGAGTGACATAATTTTTAGCTGTTACACTTTACAGAATCTTTTTGACAATTCCCCCACACCCCAACCCACACCCCAATCTCTCCAATTTCTTACTATGTAGCCCAGGCTGGCCTGGAATTTGCTGAATAGCCCAGGTTGGTCTCAAACTCAGGTTTTTCCTGCCTCAGCCTCCCATATAATCAGATATATATATATATATATATATATATAGAGAGAGAGAGAGAGAGAGAGAGAGACACAGAGACAGAGACAGAGACGACAGAGAGACAGAGAGACCCAAAATGTTTTAAGGCATTTGTTTTCCCTTGGTATTTTCGAAAAGCTAATCTTCACAGCTGTCAAGAAATACGAAGTATTTTCATAATGCGTTAAGAAATTGCGTTGTCATAGCAATTGGACTTAAGTAAAACAGAATGTATCAAAGATGGCAGGGTGGGGGTGTCTTGCAGCCAGGAAATGAGAGTTTAAGAATAGCATCAGCAACAGTGAGTTGCATGAAGCTATTGAGCCAAGGATCCCACTCATCCTAAATGTCTTAGATTTTAAAGGTCAAATTGAAGTCAAATTTGAGGGAAAAAAGTGCTGCAGTAAGGTCCCCTGCAGGAAATTAACAATAAGCCTTTTTTAGTAACTGGGCCATTAATTTCTCAAAGGGATCCTCAAAGTGTGTTGACTGTTACCCAGGGACCTAGGTAGGAAGAATGGAATGCAAGGTTTGTGTGAAACAGTTCTTAGGGACTTATTTAGATATGCACTCCCACTCCCTACCTTTTGAGACAAAGTCTTGATACGCAGCCCTTTCTGGAACTGTGTAATTGGTTGTAGCTGGTCTTGAACTCATTATATTCCTGCCGACAAGCCTGGCTGCCACCAGCCTTGGCTCTTAGCCCTCTTAAAGAGAAGGCCTTGCTCTGTTGTCTCAGATTCAGTGCTTCACCGTCCTAAGTAGCTGGCCTGTGGCAGGCGGGGGCTGCTTGTAGCCAGCTGTTTTCTTGACAGTGTGTTTGGCTTGGCTGTATGCTTTGTAATAATCTAATACTTGAAGAAATCTGATGTCAAGTGATCTAATGAACAGGTTTAAGTGGGGAGAGCCATATTAAGTGTATCTTTTAGCCCCCTGGATTAGAATTTTGTGTTATTTTCCTTCTCGGCTTTCATCTCAAAGGGTGGGGCCTCTGCGGATATTGAGAAATGACTCTTAGGAATAGCTCCCCCATCCTCTCTATGGAACATGTGAAGGACAGAGGGTCTGAGGGCAGCCTGCTTTTGTAATCAGTCCTCCCTGGCTATTGGAGAACTCCACTCTATGCATCTAGGTCGGCTACAGCTCCTCAGCTGTGGCCTCACAGAGGAATGCAGTGATATGATGGCAAATGCTGACTCCGGGAATGCAGAGGTCCACATAGCTGATCACTTAGAGCCAGCTGACTGGAACAGCTGTGCAGTGAACCAGCACCTTTCCCATCTCTTTTGCACATGCTGCTTATACTAGTTTTTAATAGGAAATAATAGTGTTGTATAACAGAATTGCACCAACAAATGACTTAATGCTTTTACTTAATTACTTTTACTATGCAAAATCCTTGGGATTCCTATTTCATCAGACTGTGGATGGAAAGAGGCCATATTTATTTTTAAAAGAACTTTCAGTATTAAAAATCAACATTTGGGGGCTAGGCAGTGGTGGTGCACACCTTTATTCCAGCACTCAGGAGACAGAGAGAGGCAGGTGAATCTCTGAGTTCAAAGCCAGCCTGGACTAAATAGTGAGTTCCAGTACAGACAGACAAGGAAACCTTGTCTTGAAAAACCAAGAAAATAATTCAATGCTTGGGCAAACTAAGGCCTGAAAGAGCATGTGACTTGGCCAAGGCAGCACATTTAGGTGATGGTAATTGTCAAAACATAGCAGCCTTGGTTCTCTTACTACATTTCACATTCCTGGTGGGATATGGATACCGGGGAAATCTTTGCTATTAAATTTTCGCCTGTTTTCATGTGTTTTCACAGATCTGTTCCCTTCACTTTGAAGTGATTCTATCCCACTTGCCCTTAGAAGTGTTGTCTTGCCTTCCCCTCCCTCTTTAGACTCCACATTCCTCCATCATGTTGTCATCGTTTCGTAAACGCAGAGTCCAGGTATTTGACTAGCATGCAGAAAATGTGTTGCCTTTTGGGGTTTTTTTGCCTGGCTTGCAGTGGAGACATTTTGGTGTCTAAGGATAAATGATCCAAAGAGGGAGAAGCCCTGCCCGCATGACCTTTCTGTTAAGTAGAAAGGTTGGTGACAGTCTGGTTGGGATTTCTGGTTTCATGACTGGAAGTGCAGTATGTTTACTCTAAAATTTCCAAAGCCTACTGTTCTCTACCTTTCTGATTGTCTTCTAAGGCATGGATGTTTTAATTTCTTATTGCCATCCTTGTGTTTGCATGTAATGTTTGCTGATTTTTAATTGATGGCTGCTTGGTTCCTAAGAACCAAGGGAGTAATTCACTTTAGATATTTAGAAAAATGACCTGAAAACATGTAGTATAAATAGTGTTTTCAGTTTGACAAGTGCTGTAACCTGGGTTTGTCCCCTTTCCCATTGACTTAGCTCTACCATAATCCCTGTGATGAAATGGCACTAACAGATTCTTTCTTCAAAACCAACACTCTGGCCAGGTGTGGTGGTGCACACCTTTAATCCCAGCACTTGGGAGGCAGAGGCAGGCACCTGAGTTAGAGGATAGCCAGGGCTTCAGAAAAACTCTGTCTTGAAAAAGCAAAACACACACACACGCACACACACACACGCACACACGCCACTCTGTATGTTTTATGTGCAGTGTTTCAGTATTTGCTAAAATTGAGCCTTTTTCAAAAAAGAAAAAAACTGCTTAAAGTGATCTTGATATTCTTAAATGAGAGTTAAAAATTACAGACTTTTCCAGTGATTATAGGTGATAAATCTAAAGCAGGCCCTTTTTATAAATGCAACTAGTTAATTATCTAAGGCTTACAATCTTTTCCTATCTTGAATCTTAATATATTGAACTTAAACCCTTTTCATCTGAATTTTGCAGGTTGAAAGGTAAGTAGCAGCAAGATAGTATGTGGGGAGCATCAGAAGTAAGTTACCCAGCATTGCTCTGCATTTCTGGGTTTTGATGCAATGCAGTATGAATCTCTTGCTTTCTTGAAGCTAAGTCCTGCTCACCTCTGCAGAATTGTGCTAACAAGTGAAACTGAATTAATCAGTTTGAAGGCTGTCATGCAGAGCCACAGTCTTGACTGGAATGTGGTTAAAGCAAAAGGATTGCCAGAATCTTGTTTATGTACTATTTACTGCTCTGCTTACCATCCTGTCTGCTACTAAAACCTGTAGCTAAGCTGGTTTGAGTTGATTTGTTTGATCTGAGAATCAACTACAGAGTTTTATGGGCGCTAACCAATTCTTTGGCAGTTTGTTCTCAGGCAAGCCATTTCACATCCGTGGATGTAGTCCTCTTGCTTTGCAAATCTGAGAGTCACTATATGCTGGCCTCATAAACACAGAGAAAAGAAAGATATTGTCAGTTCTGCACATTTGGGCTCTGACTAAGCAGCAAAGCCCGAACTGATGAATGGTTTCTGTGACCTTTGCCTTGGGCAATGTTTACGAATTTTTCCATAGAGCCAACTGATCCATTTTTCCTGTGAGTCCCTAAAACGACTTTCTTCAAAACAGAACAGCTGGTGTCCAGCCTGAGAATCAACATTCATTTTATAGCATTCCAAGTCCTCTGGCCTTCAGGACAGTCAGCGTGCTGCAGTGACTTTAAACACAGCAAAAGTAAACTCCTTTCATATTTACTTTAATTTCTCTTTT